TTCATTTTTACTGGCTAAAAGAATGCTCAGGATTAATGCAGACTTTTCTTATATTTGTAATATTGCTTTGAGGAGGACAGAATTTATGTTGTAAATGAAGTCCATGAGGGAATACCTGTGTTTCTCTTTCAGCAATCTCAATCCAGAGAAAAATGCAAATGAAAATGGAATGTCTATGCAGAATGATAACTTTGAAGAGATCATAAACCTGCCTATTGGTTCTAAGCCGTCGCGGCTGGATGCCATGAACAATGATGGAAGCAATAGTCCTCAAATTCCTTTGAATCCAATTCTAGCCTTTGAAGATCAGGGGACTCTTTTGCCTCAGGTAGATAGTGTTCAAACACATCAAACAGCAGGTAGGTTCACCTTAGTTCATTAATACTTGTAATGTGTTATAGTTGACAGAGGACCTGGAGCTCTTGATACAAGTTGATTAAGCATTTTTAAACACCATATTATTTGGCGAAAGGAGCATGTTTCCTCTTTGTAAAGCTATGCATACCGAGTACATACAGATGCTGTGCTAATCATGGTGGGGCTTCATTTTTTCTTTGAGGAGGGGCTGCTCGGTTACACTTTCTGCCATTGGAAGTTGCTTGAAAATGCCTGCCCTGTGCTTTCAAACAGAAATGATAAGAGGCAACTGCTTTTCCATGTTCTGCAGGTGTAATATCTGACATACCCAGATATGTCAGAAGGGCGTAAGGGAAGAAGGCAGAAGGGGACGGGGTATCTACCTTCTGTGTAAAATCCTGTCTGTACTTCCCTCCTCAAGTTCTCACTGACATTAATATTGAGGGATGGTTTGCAGCACACTAGATTTTTCTGAATTACATCACAACTTTTTAAGGGATGTTAGATAAACAAAAACTAATACAGCAAGTTAAATTGAGATAGCACTGTCTTCTTCTCTGGTTAAAAATGTAAGGAAAATCATCTTACAGTAACATAAGTGCATAAAAGCCTAGCATTTTGAAGTAAGTATCTTCCCTCTTTACTGATCTGTCGTTTTTTGATACCTTCTGTTGTAGAAGTGATCTGATTGTTTCTTCTGAAGAACCAAAGGTGATAGGAGCATCTCTGCAGTCAGTGGAGTTTCTTCTAAACTATGAAGGAGCGTTTTATTTTTTCTCTCCAGTTTTTTAAGGATTTCTTGAATATCTTTTTTGGAAGGACTTTAGTAAAACCAGCAGAATAAATGATGGGAATAGACTTGGATCACCTTTTTAATAGCTTTCACCACTAGAAAAAATCATGCTTCACATGCATTACTTAATACGGCTTTTTCCAGCAAGCTTTTTCTGTTAGTATATGGATATTTCTACATTCCTTAAGACACAGGACACTGGAATCTGAAAGCAATGGGCTGATTTGGGTGGTGGGTCTGATTCTTTTTTAAAAAAGGTGGTGTTGGTTTAAAGGCATAATTGTAAAATTGGCAAAGAATCTTTCACACTTCGTGGTTCTAATACTTGAAAAATAAATACCTCATTGCTCTACAAGTAGAGTTAATGGGGTGTTCTATTATAAACCTGTTGGTTTAAATATTATTGCAGAGAACTCTAATTATGGGGGCAAACTATAGGCTTCTGTATCTGATTCTTGTAAATGTAATTCCTACAGGGACATTCTGTAAATTGAGATGTCACTATGATCTTGCATTTTCTCTAAAAACACAAAACAAGGCAGGTTTTAAAATGTGAAAATATGAAAGCATTATTTTTTCATGGACAAGAGGAAAACCTATTGTTCTCCTAGATGATGTATTTATGAATTTTGTTCAGTAAAGAAATAAATCATTTAACTGAATAAATTAGAAAAATGTGGCAAAACGATACTGCAAACTTGATTTTTTTAGTTACATTCATTTTCTCAATACTATAAAAGATGTGTATGCATAGGTGCACACACAAGGAAATCCCTTGTTCCGAGTCCTGAAAATTGCTGCTGGTCCTAATGGTGGAAGACTTTTCCTTTGCCTTATCAGACTACTGAAGCCTGTGGGAAACCTGAAATGTTTGATTTTTGGATAATGAAGCAGGTTTGTTTCAGGGTATTTGTGGTTTTGCTCGTTTCAGAGCAGATGGGAAATGGTTATTGTGCTTCTTGTCATGTGCTTTTTATAAAGTAGTGCAGTTTGAGTGATAAGAGCAGCAGTGCAGGTTGCTGTCTCTTTAATTTGATGCTGATTTCTACTCTTATCATTCCACCCGTTGCTTTTGGTTGCTATTGGGCAGAACTGTAAAGTCTTGCGCCTTCTTGTGCTTTGATAAACAACACTGCTACACATAGTAGGTAGAGTTCAATCTAGCTCTTTGAGCATGAAGCACCAGGGTTTGACATGCTGCTAGCTGAAGTCAGTGAGGAGATCCTTTGCTAGGGGAAATGGAGGTTTATGGGGTCTCAGTTCATGCTCCCAGAGAATGTCTCATTAAGATTCCTGCACTTGCCTTTAGTGAGCACTGATCTTGGCCTCTAGGAAGCTGTGCAGAAAGTCTGTGTTAGCAGAGGAAATCCTCTGAGACAAAAGCTGAAGAATTTTTGAAGAAGTTATTTTCTGCTGCTGGCAAGTGTTATTTTATACAGGAGATGGGATAAAACCAATGGAAATGCAATGAAAGAGACTTCATCTGCCAGAATGTATGTGGAAGGGAAAAAACAGCCAGTCAGAATGCTTTCAGTAGTAGCTTGTGACACGGTAAAACAAATTTCTTTAGTTTTCCATGTACATAGCCACAATATTTTGAAAGGTCCAAAATATGTAGTTTTCTTCAAACTCATATATAGCATGTAAGTACCAAATAAAACTTGTTTGAACTAATTCTATTTATATGTTCATTTTCTTGCGTATTTGGAGCAGGAGTCAATCTGTGATGGAAAACTCTTCCTGCTCCTTCTGGTCTGCTTAAAACTTTTCAGATGTTCTCTAATCTCTTACAAGAAAATCAGTACAGATTCACTTGCAGCTAGAAACAGCAAAGAAATAGTAAGATTTAGCGTCAATTTTAAGTCTGAGGATTCACTGAGACTCGGGTTTAAATTATGGTGATCTTGCATCTGTTTAGGCTGAGGTATAAATTATGTGGAGCTAGTTTTTGTAAGACTTCACTTTTATGAACAGGACTGCAGTAAAATATAATCATATTCATTCCAGATTTGCTTCACATAAGAGGGAGAATTTCCTCCTTTTCAAGGGCCTGACATACAAAGTAAAAGCTAGGGAATTGGGAGTAGAATTAGGTGTAGGAATCAAAAAAACCCCAAACCATTAAGAAAATGAAAATGACTGAAATTTTAAGTCTTTGGTTAAGGCCCATTCTTTCAATGTAGGGAAAAATAGTTTCTTTCCTGTTGAAGGTTGTCCTGGAGAATAAAACATGGTATCAAATGATGGCTAGCTCCTTTGCCTGCTATTCCAAATGTTTTTGTTGTTGGTACTATCACAGGTAACACTCAATTAGTTAGTGACTAGAACTAGTAATTCTAGTAGAACTAGCAATTGTGGAGGTCCAGACAGCTATTATGAAGGTAAGGAGCAGCACCCTTTCACAGCAGTTAGGCTGTGTGCTTTGGAAAGACTTGGCTCCTTGCTATCTTCTTAACAGTGCAACATAAATGCTTGCAGGGATGACATTCAATATATCACAGCTACTGGGTGGTTCACCATTAGCTTTCCTTGTTTCTCATGTCTCTTATCTCCTCATTCTGATGAAGAATGTTTCATTATTTTCTTTCTTGACAAGACCTTAAAGTCAAGAGTTAAATACTTGAGAATACAGATGCAGGAGAGATTGCACTGTTGAGAGATTTTTGTTTTGGAAAATTATCTTAAGGTTGAGATTTTCTGATTTAATTCCTAGCTGTGTCATTCAGCTCTCTCTATTCCTCTGTTTTAACAAGCCCAAGCTGCCTACAGCTGAGCACATGGGTCTTTCACGTGAGATTTCAAACCAAAATTCCTGTCACACATGAATACTGAAAACACCATACTGCTTTATCTGAAGTCTGCCCGCCCTTTCCCAGGTCTTGTTACTGCACTGCAGAGAAGCTTTTGAATGAGGTTTTGGTTGTGGTTAAAAAAAAAACAACAAAGAAACAAAACCAAAAACCAAACAAAGAAAACCAAACCAACAAAAAACCCAACCAAAACCTGGTACTATTGTAGAAAACTTGCAGTAATTAAAAGGGATAATTGACAGAAGTGCCTCCCCCAAGCATCAAAACTAAATTTAGCAATTTGGGCCACACTAAATGCAATGTTTAACACTTAGTTAAGATAATTATATTTTATTATTTCTAGTCTCACTTTTATACTAAGTTTTATTTCATGTAGCCAGTAGCAGATACTCTAAAGCTCTACATGCATGTAAGAGTTTTACCATGGTCAGAAGTACCTCAAAAGATCATTATGCTGGTTTTTGCCAGGGTAGAGTTGATTTTCTTCATAGTAGCTCCTATAAGGTTGTGTTCTGGTTTTGTGCTGGCAACACTGCTGCTAAGACAGGGATGTTTTTGTTATTGCTGAGCAGTGCTTACACAGCCTCAAGTCCTTTTTCGCCTCTCACCCCACCCGCCCTACCAGCAAGGAGGCTGGTGATGCACAAGAAGTTGGGAAGGGACACAGCTGGCCTCAACTGACCCAAGCGATATTCCATATCATATGATGTTACACTCAGTACATAAAGCTGGGGGAAGAAGGAGGAAGAGAAGAGAATCTTCATGAGTAATGGAGTTAGTCTTCCCAAGTAACCGTTTTGTGTGATGGAGCCCTGCTGTTCTGGGGATGGCTGGACACCAACCTGCCCATGGGAAGTAGTGAATGAATTCCTTGTTTTGCTTTGCTTACATGGCACAGGTTTTGCTTTACTCATGAAACTGTCTTTATCTCAACCCATGAGTTTTCTCACTTTTGCCCTTCTGATTCTCTTCCCTATCCTCTGGGGGAGTGTGAGCAAGTGGCTGCTCGCTGGGGTTAAACCGCAACAGTCAGTAAACTCTTCTGAAATGTTTTAATAAGAAAATGCTATCTGGAAGCAGATGTTTGCTGTAAGAGTGGTTCCAAAATTTCAGCATTCCAGCCAGTTCAACATGAAGCTCCAGGAGGATTTTTGTATTTAAAACAAAAAGTATTGATGAAAGATAGAATATAGGAGATAAATTTCTAATTTTACCAAATATGTTCACTTTTGCCTGGTTGCAAGTACCTTTGGAAATAATTTACCATTTGCAGAGCACAGATTTCTGTATTCAAACGCATCTCACCCAAATCAATGGTAGCTGCTATATTCTGAGCATGCTTTATGCAACATTGACCTGCCTCAGTGTGCCTTTGCTCTTCTGGAGTTTAGTGCCTACAATGTAGGTAAGGACCAGCCCTAAGGCTTGCCCTGTTCTAATTTCTTATAAATTGCTTTCAATTTCTGAGTTGTTCTTCAGCAGTTACTCTCTGTAGTAACCTGTTAGTAGTTTGCCACCTTTATATTGTATGTTAATTCAATTGTTTTCTAAAGTCAAGACCCTGGAGTGTGCTCTGAGATAAAGGACATGGACCAGAAACAAAATAAAGATGAATGCAGAGTAACCTGTGTACTTGAGAGATGCCTCTTCAGAAGAATCCACCTGTTACATTAATAAAACCTTATGAATACAGCGCTGTTGTTTTGGAGGTGGGGGTGAGGAAACAAAAAACAAACCACTGAGGATTACCCAAGTATAACGTGTGCTTTCCAAACCCTTTGGAAGGAATGTAGCCATAGTCCTCAAGCACACTTCAGCAGCCAGCCAAAGTGTACAAGGGATTGTCGTTTGACCCGTTTGGGTTTTTGTTATGATAACATCTCTTTGATGAAATTGTAAGTAGCAGGAAACCTTAAACTACAGGAAGCAATGAAAAGAGTTGTCTTCTCTGAAAATTCTGAAGGCTTTGGTAAGTTTTCATAAGCTATCTGGCTTAAATATTAACTATCTTCATGGCAAATAGCTGCCCTAAGGAGCTCTTGAGTTTCTTCTGTTTGTTGGCGGAGTTGCTCAAGGAGTTTGGCCATTTGGGTTTCTCTGAATTCTAATGAAAATTCTGGATCTGAAGAGAAAAAACAAGTGTTAGGCAAACTGCCATTTTCCCCTGTACTTTAATGCAGATGCTTAGAAAGCTTCTATTTCAGGTTAGACACAGTTGATAGTTCTTATTACAGTGTAAAGTATGAATAAGACAAAACAATATCCTTCTACCGTACAAAGCATATGCAAATCAAGATTTCAGCCTTACTCAAGATTGTTTGCTGCTTAATTCTCCTAATCCAGATGTCTAAAGCTCAGTTGCCAAATTCAGCCTTATACAACAGATGCATACCAAAACATAGCAGGGTCTTAGCTCTGGCTCTAAATATGTGGAGAGATACACATTTATTACAGTACTGTAACTCATCTATACTCAACTTCTATCCAAACCAAAAAAAAACTTCACCAAAATGGTAAAAAAACCTCAAGGAACAGAATTTCAAGTACGAAAAATACATGAGACCTCCCAGTTTTAATAGCAGCTAATCACACAATTTCCTTGTTTGTGTGCTTTATCAGAATAAACTAAATTCATATTTGAAAAGCTTTTAGATGGCATCTAGTGCCAAACATTCTTACATTGGATAAAAACAGCTGTACCTGTTAAACAAAAAAAATTTCCCTGCCCTTATAAGATACTCTTAGTAACTTAAAAACCAGGTAAGGTAACAGCTACCCTGGGGATTATTCTGTTTGCTGAAGCGAGCAGAGTAGTCCCCAAAGAAAGTTGCCAGGCACTGTCATTTCTGTAACACAGCAGTGCCTGTTTGCCACTGAGAGGGACAGGCAGTGCCTAGCAGTGCTCCAGGTGCTCAGCCCAGCAGGAAGGACATACCGTCTCGCAGTCTGCAGAATGTGGAGATGCCCAGCTGCTGAAAGCGGATCTCTCGATGGGTAAGAAAATTCTTGAGGTAGGCCTGAATATCTCTGATGTGCCGCTTCAACAAAAGCATCATTTTTTCTGCATGAACGGGAAAATTAACAGGAGCCTTTAAAACACTTCAAAAACTGATTTTTGTAACTATTTAAGATTGTTAATGACCTATCTACCCAGCTACAACCAATGTTCCTACAAAGATTAGCAAATTATTTCCATGTAGTACAGCCTTTAAAGGTACTGCTGATACTACAGGTAAATAAACACTGAGTGGGCAGCTGGTCCTCGTGTGAGGTAAGTGCTGACTTACAGGCTGATAAGCCTGCCATGAACCCACCCAGGAGTGATTATGCTGTTGGACTTTGTTCACTGCTTGAGAGTCTGCTCTGTTGCAAATCCTCAATGGTAGAATTGAAACAGGTTTGTGGTGTCCCTTACTGGAGACTCATTATGGGCTTCAGTTTCTCTTACACCTAAGGATTAAAATCTAACTATACTTTTCTAGAGATTGTGGCAAAAATCCAAATGCCTTTTTCTTAAAGGCTCTCAGCTGTGTGTGACAAGTGTATTAAGCATAAAGCTTTTTGTTTTCTTCAGGTAAAAATAATGTTGTTCTCATTCTCTCTCACTGCAACTTAAAAAAATACAGGCTGCATTCTTAAAAGCCACTTCAGTGCTCCTGCTAATCTAGTCTAGAATTACAACAGCAGTATTTGATTCAGTAAGATGTTTCCCTCTTGTTGGTCAGGGAGCAGGGTTGATCTAAAATTTTGGAACACAACTGTCCCATTGTAATTGTGTCTAGCAGTCTCTGCTCCTATCTATGAGGAATGCCATCACATTGTACGTACTGAGAAGGAGGGTTAAACAGAAAGATACAACAGTGTCTTCCTTTGGTAAGGGGTATTTTACGCTTTCCCACTTTCCTACTGAAATTGTTTTTAAGGATCTCAGAAGTGGCTACAGACTAGCCTTGCAGCATGATAGTGTTTGAAGATGTCAGCCAGCACCTGGATCAGATCTTTATCTATGGCCCATTTTCATCCCTGGGGTTTCTCATGCACTCCAGCCCTGGTGTATGTCTGTTTCAAGGGTGACTGTAGGTGCTTTTTGTAGAGACCACATGGAGGATGCTATGGGAATGTTAAAGGTGCCTAACAGGCTTTTTTGTTTCTTTGGGAAAATGCTCATTTCACTCCATCCAGCCATAAATCTCTGAAAGCACAGTTAATGCTGTGTGACAGTTACCGTAACCTATCATGTGCTGGATGATAGAGGCAGCTTGAAAAGATGGCTCAGTATGTTCCAGTTGGCCAGCCAGTCTCACCAAGCACTTTGTCAAGGGTTCATCCATCCATTGGACCATGTGTAATGTGGCTCCTGGAAGACAGAAAGATGAGAGAGTAGGCTATGAACAGAAACTCCAGTGCTGAAGAAATGAAGGTGAGAGGTCTGCCAGAAACTGTACTGCCTCAACAGGATATCCTTCATGCAGCTGCAGAAGTGAAGTGCTGAACTTGTGCAATAAGTATGTTTAGGTTGTAAAAAAAGGGTCCATGTCCGGAGGTTATGGTCTCGGAAGGCAGTGTAATGTATCTGATTCACAGAAAGGCTGGTGGATTTTTATTTTGTTGGGTTTGTGTTCTGGAGGAATGATCACTTCACGTACAAGATACACTCTTGCCTAGTGGGCTTAGTCTGTCCACCTCTTGAAAAATTAAATGTGACATGTTGCCAGTTGCATGGTAGTTACATCAGATACAAGAGGAAATGTTTGACATAAAATATCCAGTGCTGGCACAAGCTGGAAAAGCTGACACTGATCCTCTTGCCATGAGGCGTGCTGTACCTTCCATGGGTGTGAATAAAATTTATGTGCAAAAAATAGAAATAGCCACTTTGTATTTTAGTCTTTCTTTTATATTGTTTTTTGCTGTTGTGAAATTAATTCAGCCAGAGAAACTGGCCTACATTACAAATAAACCAGACAGGCCACGTACTGCAATGAAGGTCAGCACGAAGAATTTTGAGTAAAAAAAACTAAAAAATTAAGCAATTCAACAGAAGAAAGTGCAACTATCAGAGCCCATGTGTCCTGCCAGTGAGTTGGATCCTGCTGCTCTTGAAGCTTATGGCAAAACCCCCAGTGAGTTTAAAGGGAAAGACCTGGGCTGTACATCCACCTATGCTTCATCTCCTATTAGGATCAATAAAGGGTATGTACACTCCTCAGATTAAGCCATTTATGGTAGGGCTGCTTCCCTACCTTGCTTTGCTAGCTCAGCAAGGCAAGATGTCACGTGATGAAGAGAGTCTTCTTCAGTATTGGTAGAAAGCATGGTCTGGAGGAGACCTTCAACACATGGGCTCTCAACAATTCTCTGCAACAAAAAAGAGATTAATGTTCAGCATTTCCATTATGTTTTAGTGGTGACTGAGGACTTCAGAAGTACTAAATAGCTCTTAGCAACACTGAGGGCTGAAACATCAAAAACGGAAATGTCTCCTTCCAGATCTACCACAACAGGGTGACAAATACCCTGGATTGTTCGGAGATCACCTGATTTTAGACGTTTCCCAGGGCTTGCTCTGTCAGTGGGATGTTCTCATAGAATCAGCTAGGTTGGAAAAGACCTTTATGATCATGAAGTTCAACTGTTACCCCAGGACTGGCAAGTCACTTTTCCAAAGTGAAATGCAGTATGCCACAGAGGGATCCAGCTTTGTACAAACACTGTCATGGCTGGCTACGCTCTTATACCTCAGTAGTTCCTCTACGCAGGCAAAACCTTGCGGATCAGGCTACATAGCCATGTTTTGTTTCTGCACTACCTTTGCACATCTCTGCTCCACCTTATAGCCTGCGGGTTGTAGAGGAACTGCAGTTGTTCCCAGGGGACCTGATCAGCATTAAGGTCCTGGGGAGCCAAATGCTATGCATCTGCACAAGGCGTGCAGGCTGAATGCAGATCACCCTGAGCTCAGAGAATTTCCTGACCTATTGCTGCTGTGCCAGGCCATTATGTTAGTATTAAGCTGTCATTTGCCGCAGAAGCGAGTAAGCTAAGTGCTCCAGGGCAAAGCACTGGGAAATGTGGAAGTTTTTCAGTTTCTCTTATTTGCCTCCAGGGCTTTAAAAGCTTTATGGTGTTGAAATGCTCTGATCTGCAGAAATACAAGATGACCACTCACTAGCAAATCTGAGTTCTGTTTCTGGAGAGAAATGTTATGAATTAAACATTTCTGTGTATCCCTTATGTTTTAGGTTGAATCTGCTATCTGCCAAAAGTGTTGGACAGCATGTCTCTGTACTGGGATATGTGTTTTAGAAACCGATTTGAAAACAGATAGGAGACATAGCCTGTGCTGACCTGGATTAAAAGCACTTGAGAATGAGTCCCGACTGAGTCACCTGGAGGTGACTGGTTGCTATTGAAGCTGAATCACGAAGTCCTCAGTTCTTTGGGAGGTCCTAAAAACAGAAGCTGCTCACACCTCCATGAGGGAGCTCAGGTATTTATAAACAAAAAGGAGTATCTGTTTTGTATATGTGGGCTCGTTTCATGTTGCAATTTTTTAACTTGTTGCTTAGAGGTTGTAGCTGCATTCAAGACTTGCCTTTCAAACTCCCATACTCTCTTAATGTCCTGCTGGCATAAAAACACCACTTTTTTTTCTTCTTGTGCCAAGGGCTCTTACATGTTTGCGTGATGGTTCCTTAATTGACCCTGGAAACCTGTCATTCCCACTCATGTCTGTGGGCTCACTTTTGCATTGAGAGCTAGATACTCTGTATGTTATAAAGCGTTATGAAGCTCCCTGTTGATAGCAGAGTATGTGACAAATATGGTAATTATTTTAAAGCAAAATTTGAAAGGATTGAGGGAATCTATTTCCCTGCAAAAACAGATTTCAAAATTTAACTATCAAAATTTCATATAATTTTTACATTAGTAAAAGTGGAAAAAAAATGGAAATAGTTTTTCTTTTGGTTAACTTAAATCTCTGGGATTACTGGTAAATGGGTCATGAACAAAGAAAAAAAGAAGAATGTAAAAAAAATGTGTACCAGAAAGTGGGGCAAGGCAGAGACAAGGATTTGGGTGGGATTTCCTCCCCCACCCCCAGTATTGATTGTTACTAGTGGCACTGTTTGATCAAGGTACTCTTAAAAGGTAATGAGAAAGGAAGTGCCTCTATAAATCTCATTAGAAGATTCATTAGAAGCAGAATCAGCAACAGAGATCCTTAGAGCATCTTAGAACAAATAGTATCTTTCCAAACAAGCAAAATGTACATCAATAACTGGGGTTATATTTAACAAGTTGGGATTGAAATTACATCAGTGTTTGAACACTGTAAGTGGATAACCAATGGCTGATGAAGAGTGAGAGTTAGGAAACAAGGATTCAGTTTATAATAAACCTCAGTTTTCCTCAATGGCTCCTTTTAATGAGTATGAAATGTCTTTGCTAGAAGTATGTTTTATACCTATGATGCAGCCATTCAAATCAGATAACCAGTCACAGGAAAAAAAAATCAGGTATTTCTTATTTTCATTAGCATTTTCTGTATTGCATTGAAAAAATATCAAAAAACCCTTCTTTCATTATGGTGCATCAGGTCCTTCTATTCACACAACTTTGTGTAGAGTATCCCTAGTGCATGTTTCATTATATTATCTTTCTGTGGGTAATTCTGATTTGATATAACCATATTAGCAACCTCCCATGGTACAGTTCGGTGAAAAATATTGGGCACCTACCTGTCTGTGTTTGGAAAGGCTCAGGTTTTTGATGATACATGCAGTATGGCCAACAATCACAGGGTCTGTTTTATGTGCCAGTAGTAGCATCCCCAGGCTCTGTAGTAGCTCAGCACATGCCAGAGTGTCCTGACAAGAGCAACCGGTATCTCAGTTACATCCAGTACGGACAGCACACTGCAACTTTGCAGCATGCTAAAGATAGATCTCAAAGAAAAGCATTACTTAGCTCGTTTAAACCAACAATGATTTGGCTGAGTCCAGTGCTTTTTCCCTCAAAATATAGTCTACTGAGTGCTACTGATCTACAGAGCACTTGCTGTTGAAAGCTGGAGTCTTTATGGTTCGGTAGTTTATTTTTTTTTGCATCAAGCACTTCCCAGAGCTTGCTGGTAGCTAAGGGAAGGATGTGTGATCCTGACTGGAAGAAGCGGTCAGAACAGGTGTGAAAAGTGAAAGTATGTGATGAAGTAACAGCAGCAGTGTGTCCTTGAGTACCTCAGCATGAGCCTCACCTACAGTAATGGACTGTATGTTTAGATCAGTTTGTGATCTGGCACCACTTTAGTAACATGTTCTGAACAGCATCTTCTTGAGTTTATACATGCATTTCTCTGCTCTGATAGATATTTTAGAGGGAGGGACTTTATTGAGTTCTCTCTCTGAATGTTGTCATCTTCCAGTTGCCACTAATATTAACTTTCTGAGTTTGCATTACTGTCCAGGTAGTTCCTTCAATAACAGTATGGATTAAGAGGGCACTGCTGTTTATAAGAGAAAGTGACCTCAACAGGCTTTGGGTTAGGTACAGAGTTAAAAGCAAAAGATTCCATCTTGGGAGCATTTTTTCTTTCAGTCTCTTTCCCTTAGGAATTTGAGCTCTTTATGCAGTTCTTATGTTTCTTAGCAATGAACTATATTATTTGTGCTACTTAGAAACTGAGGCACATTAGCAAGAGTGTGCAATGATGTAAAACAAATCATCGGTCCTATATATAGCTGAGAAAAATCACATCTGAAACCTGTGAAATGTCAGAATCACTGAAGCAGTGATGAAAGGCAGATGTCTTTAAAAATTAGTTGAAGTTGCATCAATTTCTTACTTAGGTTAAATTGCAACAGTGGATCTTATTTTCTTCTCATATCAGCTGACGTCTTCGCTTACATTCCTTTTAAGCACTGCCACAACCAGCAATCCTCAAATAAAACATGAAAATAGGTGGAAAGGGCAGTGCTATGCCCAAACTCAGGGAATTTAATGCAGACATGCCTGTCAATTTTCGCTGTTTTTATTTTTCCTTCTCTGCAAAGGTAGAAATAATATCATTTTAGATAACCCAGTTAAATTACCATTGATGACTGGTTTCTGTGCTTTTGGACAAAGTGTCCTCTTTTCTATGTAATCCCATCAACCACGGCACCCTGATTTCATTTGCTACAGCCTAAGAGAAGGAAATTTTCTACAGACTATAAATGAACTTTCTAATATATAACGACTTCCCTGACAAGCATTTCTGCTTATTTAGGACCTACATTAGTAAGTGACAGTACTTCAAATTTTGCTGAACCTCTTTTTTGATTGGTGTGTGGTTGGGATCCAGATTTTGTTTCATGGCTCAATCCTGCACAGCATGACAGAATCACGAGAAAACTCTTGAGTGAAAATGGATCATGTGGTTCAGATGGATACTGATCTAACTTCTCTCAAGATTAAAAAATAAATAAAATAAAAAGCTAGTAAAAGCATTCCAGCAGCAACTGCACTTACAGTTGTAATGCTGTACTTGCACCCCTTATCCAGGGATTTCTTGCCAAGATAAGTATTATCCTCCCTTTTCCAGGTAGCAAGATGGGAAGGCAAAGTTATTTTGTACCTGCAGTGGGAAGGCAGTGGCATCATCTGGAGTAGACAGACCCCTGCCACCCTGACTTCCAGGTCTTTGCTCGAAAGAATATGATTTAAAAGGCTGTTTTCTCAAAAAGCCTGACTCTATCTCTCGTATTTCAGGGTTGGGCTGTCCTTGAGAGGACTGAAAAAAATTCCCCTACAAGAGGGAAGTTTTCCAGTGCTTGCTGAGAATTGCTGTCAACAGCCTGGCCAGGGGTTTGCAAAAAAAAGGAGTTTAAGCAGAGAGAGGAGCTTCTGTGAAGCATTCCTGGGGTTTTGCTTCATGGTAACAAAAGGGCAGATGAATTCTGCCCTATTGTATCCTGGGTAGTATTTGTAATAATTCAAGCATCACTTGACTTCGTTGTAAAGGTTAGCTTTGTTCAGTGGCTTGTTTTTCAACAGCTGTTCCCATGGAGAAGTCCTTCTTTCACTCATGAGAATTCAGCCTGAATTAGAGAAAGAAACCTTTAAAAGGTTTGAAAAACAGGCCAGAAAAGGCATGGAGGTGGGGAGGCAGGATATGAGTAAGGAGAGGTCAGCCTCTTCTCAGAGTGCCTAGTGCTTGCTCGCACAAAGCAGCAACATTCACTAGTCAGGAACAGCCATGTTTACTCACTAAAACAAATTTCAATATGTAGCTACTTCTTGCTGGAGAATAAACCCTCCAGGGTAATGCTTTGCTTTGCAGCCTCCTGCTGCTGACCCTTTTCCCCCATGAAGAACAGGCTATCTCACTCCTGGTGTGACAAGGCTGAGCTCCAAGTGCCTTTGTTCCTACTGATGCAGCATCCTTTGTTGCTGGAAGTTTGAAACACTGGTAAAGACATGTTTTGGGATCAGGGAGGAAAGGATTTGTGGGTACTTTTTGCTGAGAGAACAAAAAGTGCAAATGGTGTTTGGGATCAAGAAAAGCAAATGAGAGTGAGGACGATGTTCCAGCATAATGCCTCATACTGAGGAGCATTTTCACAGTGCAAATAGCCTCCAACTAACTTAAATGTATTTCAGTTGCAAGCTTGTTGAGAGAAAATTGTGTTTTGATTGCATGAAGCAGTTTGACTAGCAAACAGGATGTTTAGTGCTGATGCAGCCAGCACAAAACCTAAGAAGCCACAGTGCCTTTGAAAAGCTCTGTTCTCTAGTTGCTGCTTCCCAGGCATAGTGTTTACCCATTTTTTCCATCATGTCTCAGAATCAGAGGAGGGGCAATTTGGTTTGTACTGTGCTGGGTATGAGCAACTGCGGTGGATAACAACAGGCCTCCAATATCCAGAGAAATTTCAAACATATTGAGTGTATTTCAGCCAGGAGAAGCACATAAGCCCAGCTGTGATTACTCATACTGTCATTACTGCTTAAAGAAATGTGGCAGGAAAGGTTCTCACTTTTGTTTTTTCGCTTTATCTGCCCAAACTCTGCCTCTCTTAAAAGGTTGTTGTTAGCTTAAGACACCTCTCAAAACCCTTTCACATCCACGTTCCTACAGATGTCCAATTACTGTAACAGAAAGGCACATTAAAAAATATTGTTTTTGCTGTTTTATGTGGATGATGAAAGTACAGCAGGACTGTCTGCTTTTTTTATTTGCTGTAGTTTATTTCTCAACATATTTCTTCATGTATTTGCATAGTATTGCACTCCTAATGGTGTTTACCATTGTAGACGGTGTTTACCAGCTGTCTGTAACTAACAACATGACGAGACACAAGAAAGTCCTTGGGAATTATCAAAAGATTTCAAGTTCTATTAGCTCCCCTGTCTTGATCCTAATTCAAAAGATGTTAAATTTATGCAAATACATTTTTGAATAACTGTCCATATAGGGAAGTGATATATTTTTGCACTTTATTGTGCACTGATGCTACTTTAAATGCACGCTCTAAATTAGTTTCTCTGCTTTCAGCATGTGAGGAAGCTCTGTAGCCAAGGAATAACTTCCTCAGCTGCCCCCATGGTTGCTGTCTTTCATGGTGCTATGCATTTATCCTGCTCCTTGTACATTCATCTGGAGACCTACAGTCTGGGGACAAACGGGACCTTTGCAGGGCAGTGTCCACACATCCAAGGAATCTGACACACAACTCTCCTCCTCTGTTCTCCCCTTGGTCCCCTTACAGAAATTCTTATTACAGGATCCTTTAGATCCCACTCACCACAACAGATAGGCTCCTTGTGCATGACAGTGAAGATGTAGCAAACAAAACCTTGTTATTTTGGGTGGGAGAGAAGGGGATTGAGAAGTCTCGCAGAGCTTGTTGGTCATTCTCAAAATGCATTTCATATGCAGTTTTTGCCATAACTGAGTGTTACCCCATGTGGTGGCCAGAACTACTCTTTCCCCACTGGTCTCGGGAAATGACCTCCCCTACCTGGTTGTGTGGGTGTTCCGACAGTATCCAGAGCAGAGCGATGGAGGCTTGACATACATCCTCACTGCCAGAAGCCAGGAGAGCACGCAGCTTGGGCAGGACATCCTCAGCAACCATCTCAGCCTGGATGTCCACTGATTTGGGAAAATGAGGTCAGTGAGCTTCAGAGCACTGTGAGGCATTTGGGCCCTGACACAAACATCTGACTGTGCTTCAGTGATGAAATTTGAGGGGTCTACCCAACCTCCATGGGATGGGACAACACTGGATGTTTGGTTATAAAAATAAGCCCTCATTTGTTCTGGCTCCTTTTGCCAAAGTATTAGTACAGGCTTGAGAGCAGAATATAGGTTTGGGGACCCTTCAGTTTGCATTTGAACATCAGTAAGAAGAAATTAGGGGAATTTTCTGAATCCTTCACTGGCATAAGGCCCCCTAAGAAGGTGGCAGCTTCTGCTGCACAGACAGAAAGACTTCCCGAAGCAGCACATATCTTGCAGAGTTATGGTTAGCTAAGGGAGAGCTCAGCCATCCCAGATGAATCCTTACACCCCACTTGTCTCTCCAAACTCGGAGAGGACTTTTGGGTTCTAAACGGCAATGCCAGAGCAGCCAGCAGATGGAGCAGCAGTCCTAAAAGGCCAAGCAGATCAAGGATTTTCAACCGCACCAAGGAGAAGCACAGCCGTTCCTTCACTCCCTGCTCCATTATAATTATGACTGCTTGAAAATTAAGCACCTCTACATTTTCTAGATGAACAACTCTTCCCCTGGACCCTAGAGCTATAGTGCTGAGTGTGCCACTCCTCTGCTTTCATCCTCTGAGTATGCCATAGAAAAGGATCTTGGGTATTAATAGGATTTTTGTAAGATGATGACAAATGCTTGGGAGAAAATGACATTTAATGATAGACAGATTCAAGCCCTGGAGAAGGCAGGTCCCCACTCAAGTAGCAATTTCAGGAGACATTCTGTCCTGATCAGGTTTAATGCTTTCGTAACATGGAAGGGAGAAAAACTTAAGTTGCAGAGGCTCTGTGCAAAAGAAGGCCTCTGCTGTCTCTCTCACCTTGTCCAAATACTTCCCCTTGCTACCTGAGAGCTCTGAGGCAGATTTGGTTGGTGTATGCACTGCACCTCCCTTTTCCCTTAACATCCAACAAAGTGTAGAAAAGAGAATCTCTCTTCTAATATAAAAAGGTTCCCAGCCCACTGTGCTCTCTCTGAAAGGCAGAGAGAGAATGAGAAATAGCATGCTTTATGTCCAAGATATTGCTTACCACTGGTAGCCAAATTCCGTAGGCAAACACATGCCTGGCTTGAAACCTGCTTGTGCCAAAGAGTAAAAAAAGAAAAAAAGAACGAGGGAGGAAAAAAAGAAGCAGTTTCAGTAACGCATGTTCTTGCCTATTGTACATAAAATAAACACGACAACACTAGCAAGCTATTACATTATCTTCAGAGAACAAATCTGGGGAAATTATCTTTTATATTATTTTTCCAAAGTTTTGATAAACTTTCTTTAACCTGCATGTGTATCAGTCATCCTGCTGTTGATGAGAAAGAGCCAATGGGGTTCAGATGTTGGTTTATTTTAAAATGTCAGATAAGTTAGAGGAAAATTGAATGAATTTGTCTCATTTGCTTCACATTTTTTTCACCTTCCTCCTACATGGAACTTAAGGTTCCACTCTTAAATCCTGAATGGTGGCTTACTGAAATTTCTTTGATGCGGCTCCAACAAAGCAAAATTTTCAAGATGTTATTCTCTGAAGCCATATGAAAGTTAAGGATAACAAAAAGGAAAAAAAGGTAGCATAATAGATGCTTCAGAAACCTTCTGTCAGACACAGTAATCAAAGATCATTGAGAACCTGGACAGAGCACTTCAAACATGTAGTTTCAAGTTTAAGGAATACAGGTCATTCTAGTCTAAAGGAAGTGGCCAGGGCTGTAGAACAACTTCAGTGACTTCCTGTCTCTTTCGCCACACATTGACCTTGTACAACCTATGTATCTTCTAATATATGTCTTTTCTCATGGGAAAGATGCTGCATAGGTGCCTGTACAGCACATGAGCAGAACTGTGCAAGACTAAAATGAGTAGCCCAAGTTTATAGCTCTACTCTGATACTAAGTTTTTACACAAAGAGAAAGCTACAGCTTTACCTTCTCCACGGAAGAGGACAGGAGAGAGATAAGTGTCCGCAACAGGAATCTGTTGCTGGGTCTCAGCATGGCTTCATGGTACTGAACATTGGCTGCCACGTTGCTCAGAGCAGCACAGCTGTAATACTGCAGAGAACAGATTAAAAAGGAGAGAGAGGAGGTCCCATTGGTGACATGTTGAGAATGCTAAAAATAAATTGGAGAAATACTCACACTTAGACCTGGTGAAAATAAAGTAGTTTTTCATCTTAAGGGTGTTTTATTGGGTAGATGTGCTTATTAGCCTGAGTGCACTTCCTCAGGGAAAAGCGATACAATTTGCTATAGCTATGACTGCAGTCATACTGTGGCAACTGCATGTTGTACAAGCCCTTTAGGATGCTTGGTATTTGGGAATGTACTGTGCTGCTGCAAGGACACTGCTGCTGGCACCTAAGTTAGGTCATCTGCATCTTCTTGTAGTGCATGTTTACATTTCTTTACTCCAACTGGATGTAGACATTGCCCTAGCATGCCAAGACATCATTTTCAAATGATTTAAACATTAATGCTAGGAAGAGTTGTATATATATGAGTATGTAGTACTAGGGAGGTATAATTAGAAGAAGCAGCTTGAACTGCATCAAAGAAAATTTTAAGGTGAATCTCAGACAAAGCTGATAAGTTTTCAGAAATTCCAGAAGCTCCATCCCTTCAGACATTTAAAAGAACTCTGAATAGAGGTAACAAAACTAATGCAGGAAACAATTCTATTACTACTCCAAGTACTACTTGGAGGACTGCACGAATGAGCTAGTGGATTTTAAGGTTTACAGCTCTGATTCATAGTTTTTCACCCACATACTTTTGAACTAAGACTGGTGCTCTGTTAAATGTATAGAATCATAAAAAGGTGTCTGTGGTAGGCATAAAATAGGAAGATTTCCCAAACATTTACAGTAATAAGAAAAAAAATCTACAAGTTAAGCCTTCTCAGATCACTTGGTAAAATTGCTTAGAGTGGAAAATCAGTTAGGATGAAAAAAAAACAGCAGAGGAAGAAGCCTATCTGCAACTTGTCTGATGATCTGCAACACACAAGAAGGTAACCACATATCTGTGCATGTGTTAGTGTGCTGGCAGATGCACTTCTGAATCATAACCTTTCTCTTGTGGAGCTAGATAAATTGGGTGCTTTGAATACATATTATCTGACTGCACTGAGTTTCACTGAGATGTTCTCATAGGTTTTCTCACTTCTCTAGTGAAACCTTCTCTCCTCTCCACCTTTTCATTTCTGTGTGCTGTGGTTTGTGCTCTCCTTACAGTCACGCTGTTACTGTTTAAAAATCTGACCTGTTTGAGCCATACCTGCACTTCTGAGTCAGGAGATTCCAACAGCAAGGCAAGAACTGGTAGGGCTCCTTCCTTGCATAGGACCTGTTGGATTTTCTCTGCCATAAAAAAAAAGGGGGGGGGGGGGGAAACGTTGTTAGTCTCTTTCCCCTTCCCTCCCTCTCATCTGGAGGCACCATTCAAAAGTGATACACGCAACCACTGAATTCTAGAGTGCTGATGCTGTCCAAATATATGCCAGTCAGTGTGACTGGAGAGTATGAAATTTAGAGCTTGTTCCAATATAGCAGTATGCAGACATTTCAGCAAAATGACTAGCAGGCTATCTGAGTGATTAAGCCTTTGCTGGCTGTATGCTAAAGACTGTTGTGAGATTCTGAATTGCTGAAGAATCTGAGAAGCCTCAGGTATGATACTGACCATAATTTCATGTTTAAAAATCAAATTCTTTAAAATTTCTTAACAGTAACATAAATATAATAGCCAACTGTTCCTTTCCCTTATATATATAAAAAGAGACATTACTCGTAACTGTACCATTTAGCTGTGTGGGATAATGGTATCACCTAGACAGGTGAGACAATGTTGTTTTGTTTCAGAGTTAATGTATGGTGTGCACATATTATTGCGGAGAATGAAAAACTGCTTTTGCTAAAGCTGTTTGCAGATATCCCAAGAGCTTTTAATGTCTGGCCCATAATAGTTACATTTTATGTCTTCTAACATCAAGTTAGGGATTCAAGTTAAATGTTCCTAGCGCTTGATCTTGTTCTGAGATTGCTTCAAAGTACCACCAAATGTGCTGCTAACTTTTTGGACCAAGTTATTTCTTTAACAAATCCCTTGGGACTAAAAAAATCAAGCCTTTCTATTTTGGTACCAGGCAAAAAAGGATCTGTGTTAGCTAAAGAGAGGCCATACAAAGGAAATAATGTGTTGCTCAGATATGCTTTTATTCTTGCCTTAACCTTTTTCAATTATTTTTCTATCAGTGAGAAATTTTCTTTTGGCAATTTTAGATAAACCGTTAGTCAGAAAGTACCTGATTGTGTGAGGTTGAGAATAGCACCAACTGCATTTTGTTGGACTCTAGGATCATAGGAATTGGCAAGAGACAGTAGGGGTGTAATTCCTTGAGCAGCGCCAATAGCCTCTCGGTTGGACTCTGGAGAAGAGAATCAGAGAAAGAAAGAAGACATTGCCATCTGACTGTAAGCCAGGAGCAGGACAACTGGAAGGACCAGATTTCTTTTCAATGTTTTTATTCTTCAGTATATATCAAAATTCCTCTGTATGCTCAAAGGAAACTCAAGAATTCCAAGAGCCCAATAGGAAAGAAATTCATGAATTCTGTATTAGTGATAGATCACAGCTGATTCAATGCTTTTGTGACTGGGATGATTAAAAAAAAGAACCATAAGTCCCCTTAAACAGGTTAGCAAGGTGTCATACTTTGCCTTGTACCTCTGGTATGTCTGATCAAGTTGTGCAGTGTGCCAACCCAAAACTACACAAACAACTGCAGGGAAGACTGAATTAATGTAGCAGAGTGTATTCAGGGCCAGTTTCTCTCTTTGAATGTGCCTGTGTCACTCCTTTGAAAGCTACAGACAATGCAGAGGTTTCCAAAGACAGAATTTGATTTAATCACTGGAATTTGAAAAGATGCTTCTTCTCTGAAGTGGTGATGCTTCCTTGCATGGCAATATATTAAGCTGTACAGTTGTACCTAACATCCTGGAGGCCAAGGAAAATCCAAAAATGTATCTGCAGAGTCCCTTGAGACACTTGAATGAAAAACTGGGGGGAAAAACCTTAATACTATAAAATTAATTATATACTATAAAATACTATATAACATTTATATACCATGTATACCTTGTATATATTCCATATGATAGTTATACTGTGCTATGAAATACAATATGATTTAGAAAAAAAACCCTCCTTTTAGTTTTACTCCTTTTGTTTTGCACTTACTGAAGGTAGCCTCAGCTGTGTTGTATAGAAGAGAATCTTTCCATTATGCTCTTCCCTGCCCCTCTACCATCAAAAGAATTAACCTGCTGATACACTGAGACAGCTATGGTCCTCTCCCCTTTACTGTCTTGTTTATAGATTATCTATATTTGTATCTTAGAAGCATTGTGGTGGCACAGTTTTGAAAAAATAAGGTGGCGTTGGCAGTGGTGTTCTTTGAAATTAGTGTGATTTAAATGAGAATTAGACCAATGAGTTGTTTTAATATAGTATTCTTCAGATTATTTTGTAAAAGGAAAAAGCCAAGTTCATAGTCTACAGCTTCCATTGTTTAGATGAGCCAAACTGCCACTGAAGACCACAGAAGTTTTAGTTGAGCATTGCTTCATTTTTGTACATTTCTAGACAGCTTAGACAATGGCCAGTGTCTGGAAGTTTGCTGAGAGAAACATGAAGCAGAAAAAAAACAAGAAATATGAATGGATGTGTCCTGGGTTCAGCAGTAGCAGTAAGTTTTCTCCTTCTTGGTAGCTGGTGCAGTGCAGTGTTTTGACTTTCAGCCTGGGAACAGAGCTGATAACAATGATGTTTTGGTTTGGCCAAAGACTTTGTGAGCCTCATGCTCTGCCAGGGAGGAGGGGAAGCTGGGAGGAAGCAGAGACAGGACACCTGACCCAAGCTAGCCAAAGAGGTATTCCATACCACAGCACGTCATGCCCAGGAGGTAACGGTGGGTTAGCCGGAAGGGTGGGGAGACTGCAGGGTTGGAGGAGGTATCAGTAGGCGCTTGGTCGGGCTGGGGGGGGCAAGTTATCAGTCAGCTGGTGGTGAGGTGTTGTATTCTCTTCCCTTGTTATTTCCTTTATCATTATTATCATTGGTGGCAGCAGTAGTGATTTGTGTTATACCTTAGTTACTAAACTGTTCTTATCTCAACCCGTGGGAGTTGCATTCTTTTGATTCTCCTCTCCGTCCCTCTGGGAGTAGGGAAAGGGAAAGAAGGAGGGGAGTGAGTGAATGAGTTGCCTGACTGGGTTTAAACCACGACAGGATGAACTCAACTTTTTAGGTGCCAACTAACTTAGTTAAGAGAAAAAAAAAAGTCATTATTTTTCTATGTGGAGCCTATCTATAATGGAGAACTGACAGACACAGATAATCCAGGATATTTATTCAAGTATACTTCAGCCAGTATTAATTTAGTCCAGGACAAGTCCTTTCTGCCTTCATATGCATATTTTATGCTCAAGAAAGTCTTTTTAGAAAGGAACCACATATTCAGATGCTACTCTAAAGTTGGGAAATCAGTAATATCTACTCAAGTTGGATTTTAATAACTCACCTTGAAACCTCTATTTATAAGTTATTTCTATCCATTCTCTGCCACTTGTGTGCTTGAAAGTTCTCCTGTCAGTACAATTTTGAATGTGTTCTACACCTAGTGCATCCTCCTTGTTTAGCATAATGCAGATGTTCAGGCCTCCCTAAGCCCTTGCTGTGAATGTTTAGTTCTGTTCCTGTATAGTCCTAGAAGAGTTCTTACCCCAGAGCTGATTATTTTTACTCAGAAGACTGAAAAGATGCAGATAGTTGCGAATGTGCCTGTGTCTTTTTGCTGTGTGGGCAAATGCTAGTGTTGGAACAAACTGACCTTCAAATCCTGTTTATCTGAATAGGTTTGTTTGCTGCTTTTATTTTTGGCTACCTATTGCAGCAGATAAGCACCAGATACCCCATCTTATGTAAAATTTGCAGTAACACTGCTAAACAGCTTCACTCTGTACAGTCTTGCATGTTCACTGAATCAGAATTAAGATACATCACATTGCCGTTCTTGGATTTAGAGTTTAGTCATTTTAAAGCTATCTAAGGAACCACCTAATTTGGTTGTGCTTCCATATATATTTTTTTAAACCACTCTGAAGCATGAATGGCTTAGTTAAAGGACATGACTGAATGGGATACTTTTCTCAAGCAGACCCTTTAGGATACCAGAGTCTGGAGTTAAAATGAACTCTAGAGAATTGCCTCTTGTTTTAGTCTCATTGCTGTGGTACCTAAATATAGTCTGAAAAAGATATAAATGGATCTAGCCCACCTAAATCCTAAACTGGGACAGAAATCCTCAACACTGATAACATCTCAGGAAGCAACCCAGCCTATGCACTTGCAGGACCGCCTACCTCTATTCTATGTTCAGCAGATGGCTTCCTATCTAGTTTGAAAGCTCCTTGAGTGCTTAATTTGAACTACTTGTGCATAGAAGTACACTTAAGAGAGCGTGCAAGTCATTAGGTGAACATCCTCTCCAGAGAATGAAGTTGGATTAAATCTGGAGTGGCTGAGGGTTTCTTGCACTCTGGGTTAAAGACTGAGACACCTAGAAGGGCAACAGTGCCTTCAGGACTAAGGAATGTCCTTACATCCCCAAACAAGTTGCTTTCTCTGTGGGCTGCTTAAAACAGGTGAAGTGATATCTCTCTGCAGATCTTTGGGATAACTTCACTGATCATACATAAAGTCCTTCTAGTGCCAGGTACCTAAAACTTTAGTGATGCCATGTCTAATTTAGGCATTTCAATGAGGCAATTTACAGTTCACATAAAGTAATGTAGCATACAGAATTCTTAACCTGACCGTAATAATATGCAATGCTTAAAAATAAGTTTCAAAGAGAAAAGTCTTTAAAAAATGGCAAATAATCATACAAGAATAAAATGCAAATCAGCACTTTCATGTGGTTGGATCCTGCTTATGCACTCCACAACATAAATACTTGAATCGGAAAACAACACTTGTACCATGCTTCTCTCAGCCTTCTGGGAGATCTGACTGCAACTTCCCAGGCTGGAGAGGGAAGCTGGTGAAATAAGCACTATAGGAAGGGAAATAAATGTTATTCATGGCTGTCTTACATGCCTTTACACAATCTGTACAGTAGAATTACACAGTTTTCAAAAGGTAGAATAAGCCAGACTGACCTGATAACCTTTCTTTTGGTAACTGTGGTTTATCTGTCTGGATGCCAGGAAAATATCTATATCATGATATGAAATATGCATAGTTAAGTAAGAGAAGTTGGTGACAAATCCAAGTACATGATGGATAAGGAACTGACTAAAAGCAAGCTGGCAGCAAATTTTGAAAAATGGAAATTCCACATATAGCCTGAAAGGAGGCTGTATGTGGAATTCCACAAGTACTGGTCTGTAGTTGGCTTTGAACCAGAAAGTTTATACAAAGGTGTGAGCGCAGCACTGTCAATGCAGTGGATGACTAGAATATTTTACAAATAACAGATAAGTTAGAAGACCAAAGCAACAAAACCAGAATGAAACCTTAAAGTACAAATGCAGGCAAGTGTACTTGGAAACATTTGTTGCAGACCCTTAATTAATTGGTGTCTGCTGGAAACAGCAACAGAGAACTAGAAAGACTAAGCTGATTTACAGCTGCAGCATGACAATATCACTGTGATGCAATCACGAGAAAAACAAGTGTTATTAAGAGACATACTATAAAACATATTTCCCTGGATGCCACAGTAGAAGATACAGGTAAGACCTGAGCTGAAATACTGCACATTTCTGGTGACCTCTCTTTCAGAAGAGATAAATTAAAAGTGGAAATCCTGTACCATTTATGTACATCTTAAGACTGTAACAATGCCTGAGCTCTGTTGTATCACAAAACAGCAGACGCAATTCTATGTTCTTTTTCTGGAATATACAATTGGCACCCAGAAGGACTATGAAGATGAATGGAGAGCCTCACTTACAGGAGGTGACTTAAATGAGTTTGGCTTTTTCTGTCTAGTAAAATGAAGGAACCTCATCAGCATAGACCTCAGAAAGGCAGAACTGCAGAAGCAAAAGCCAGTGTAGATGCTAAATAAGATAAGCTGGTCATGAATATATTTAGGTTGGAAATCAGAAAAAGGTTTGTAATCATAACAGAGTGAAGGTCAGAAACACTGAGAAAAAAGATCTTACCTGGAATCTCAAGAGGTTGAATTTATGATGTGGGAATACCAAAATTTGTTGCTGCATCTTATGACTCTTAAACCAATTGCAAATAGGTTGTTTCACATTGAAATATGACGTAAGAGCTGAATCTACAAGAGCTGAATCCTTTATCCACAGGAGAGGATAAAGGGAAAGCATGGCACACTCACCTGAAACTGCCAAAGTCATGGTGCAGGCACAGGAATTACACTGGACAGTGGCATCCTCTGACTCGAGCAGATCCAGAATTGGCTCAAGTAAACCCATTTGGACAACTAATTCTTTGTCAACTATATATAAATTCAAGAAAAATGGACAAACAATAAAAGTAAACAGTTAATGCCTTTGTGAAGATAATGTATTTTCCTTTGATGGCTTTGGGGGTCTATACTATGATTATGCGACATAGGCCAAACATGGAAACAACTTGAAAGGCACTCACAGTCCCTAGCTTGTTTTGCTTGATTCCTCTGCAGACTCATGAAAGAGTGCAAGTCGTTCTATTTCAGAAAATCCCAAACATTTCTGGTAGCAATTCTGGTTTCAAACATAAGGTTCATTTTGAAAAGTGCAGCTGCAGCACTATTTTTTACTTGTAAATAATGGCATGATATTTGCAGCAAGATCCTTAAAAAAGAAAGCAAGCTAGCTTTATTGAAGACTGACCCTGTCTTCTGCAGTTATGGGCTAGTGTAATGGCATATCTGTTTTGGCCCAGGTGCCAGGGAACACAGTAGTTGATGCAACAAGGACTCCATTGACATGGTGTGGGGACATATCCTGTCTATCAAGATGAACTTTACTGGGAAGTTTTTCATCTGCAGCTCCCAGATCCTACATCAATTATATTTTGCCCTATTAGCTACAGAAGAAAGGGAATTCTATAACACAATCTTTTTTGTTTTTTTAAATCTGTGAGCAATTTAAGACAAAGGTCCTGTTAATAAATAACAAGAAAATAAGCCCTGTCTCATAGGCAGAATGTATTACACCTGCATCTGTTGAAAAGCTAAGTGGTGGGCTCTTGATCCAAGAATGAAAATTGTATTAACTGTTCCCACAACTTTGGAATAATTTATCAGCCTTTGCATACAGATCCAAGATCTCTTGCCACATGATGTAATCTAGTTGAAGGGGTGACGTGAGCTGGCAGTGTGTGCTCGCAGCCCACAGAGCCAACCGTATCCTGGGCTGCATCAAAAAGGAGCGTGACCAGTAGGTCAAAGGAGGTGATCCTGCCCTTCTACTCTGCTCTCTTGAGACCTCACTTGGACTACTGTGTGCAGTACTGGTGTCCTCAACATAAGGACATGGAACTGTTGGAACAAGTCCACAGGAGGGCCACAAGAATGATCAGGGGGCTGGAGCATCTCCTGTTATGAAGACAGGCTGAGAAAGTTGGGGCTGTTCAGCCTGGAGAAGAGAAGGCTGCATGGAGACCTCATAGCAACCTTCCAGTATCTGAAGGGGGCCTATAAGGATGCGGGGGAGGGACTCTTCATTAGGGACTGTAGTGACAAGACAAAGGGTAACAGCTTAAAACTTAAACATGGGAAGTTTAGATGTAAGGAAGAAGTTCTTTACTGTGAGGGTGGTGAGGCACTGGAATAGGTTGCCCAAGGAAGTTGTGAATGCTCCATCCCTGGCGGTCTTCAAGGCCGGGTTGGACAGAGCCTTTGATGACATGATTTAGTGTGAGGTGTCTCTGCCCATGGTAGAGGGGGTTGGAACTTGATCTTAAGGCCCTTTCCAATCCTAACTCTTCTATGATTCTATGATTCTATGTGGTATATCCTGATGCCACTAGAATCTATCTGGTCTGCAGATAGAGACTCCCACGTTTCCTATCGGGAACACAGAAAAAGGAATTTGGATTTGTGTAGACCTGGCCATGTAGATGTGCCCTCCTTCTGCCTGACTGGCTGAAGAGGTATTTTTTCACCTGAAGAGAACATGTGTTAATTACTCACTGTTTCCTTCCAGCAAGAAGTTTACAAGGGACAAAGAAGACATCTGCTGCACCTCCAGGTCAGCAGACCTTAGTAACGCATAGAAGGGTTCCAGATGCTCCACAGGCAGGGAGATGTTCACTGGAGGAATGAGAGGAAATATTGAGGACTCTCATGGTTCACTGCAGTCACATTTATCTCTTGTTGGTCTTAAGCCTCAGGTGTTCCCATATATAGGCTGAGAGGTATTCCCCTTCATTTAAATCCATTGCTACTAGCAAAACAGGGCAAGTTTCCTGAAAAGGATTTGAATAATCAAGTACTTCAAAAACATCACAGGAAGGGAAGCAATTTGCCTTGCTGCCAAACAAGTCATTCCACCCCACAGGAGCTCCTCATGTTGTGGCTATCTGCACTTTCAATCTAACAAAAAAGCCATGGTATAAAGCTATCAAGCCAAGTGTCAGAATTCTTTCCTTGAAGTAAATGTAAAACAAAATAAATAAATCACAGCTTGCTTGTTGCTGGGATTCTTACCTTTTTATAAGACCCAAAATCTTGCTAGAAGTTTGTTTGGCATATCTAGGCTGACTTTCAACTGTTTGCAAATTACCTCAGAATCCAAGTGCTCCCATGTAATAGTCAGGACAAAGAACATCTCCTTCATAAATTTCCAGTAGGATCTGACCTCTAGAGCTTTGTCCTCTTCCAAAAATTACATAAAACCATAAATGTTCCATTATGTCCATTTCCTTCCACCACATTTTGACCATGCTGTTCTCAGGAGATCCAGTATATACTGACTCTAACTACTTTGGGTTCTACTGAGTTTTACAGAAGTAGTACAATTACATAAATGACAGTCTTTTATAATCATGACAGATATCTCCTCATGGTAAATCCCAGAATGATTCTGCCCACATGGATATGATGGCATTTTCATTTTCCTTAGCAAACAACATAGCATGAAAGAAAAAAAAAGTAAGAGAAAGAAATTTGATTAATAAATCAAAGGGAGTTTCACAGTTGGAAATAATACTTTTGTTTATAATTATGTGAAAATTTTTTAGTGCACCAAAATAACTTACTGTGCTGACTCATATGCAAGTAATAGAGGGCAGCAGACTGCTGTAAACCTGCGTTTTCTGAAAAGGCTAAGGTCCTCAAGGCCTCCAGAGGGTCCTTTCCAAGGGGTGACATTTCAAAACCTAAAGAGGTACAATGACAGCACAGACTCAATCACACCTGTAAAGGGTTAGTTTACCAAAAGAAGTTAAAACACATAAGGATTTTAGCACTGCAACAACTCCATAGAGCCCATCTGTCCTTATTCATGTTTCAATGAGCAACAGCAGTAAATGAACCTGGAATAACCTATCCTTATCAATGCCTCTTGTGAAGCTCACAAAGCTAGTGATTGGAAGCAAGATAAATTATAACCTTTAGACACTTTTATGCTCTACAATATAAATGCAAGTGTTCTTGTTCTCCATAAAAATCTTTATCTTTTCCTGAATCACAGAAAATCTTTGTTAAAATATATTTACTGAACATGGTGTTCTTAGATATAAAAAGAGTACATATTTCTAATTTACTGCATTTTAAGTTCACCATATTTCCTGTCCTGGATATTACAATAAAGGATTTCAGGGAACAGCAACATAGTTTGCAAATGGGCTTGCCTCAGGCTCAGATTTGTAGAATGAGTCTACCTGGTTTTGAGTATGACAGCTCCCCTATGAATAAACCAGATGTTCAGCAAAAGCCATCAAGCAATAGCAGTCGTGCATGACTTCTGTAAGTCACTATATAATGTCCTTATAATGTGTGGAATGGAGCAGCAGAGAGGAAAAAAATATGAGTCACTGAACCACTGCTCAACAGTATAAACTGTTTGAAAGGTAATGAAGTAATTAATTGACTGGTGGAGCACACAACTGTAAGATACATTTTCAGAAAACAGATTAAAGCAGGGTATTAAAGATTGAAATATCTCTATGAATAAGATCTAGCTACTTTACCTCTTATGGGATAAAGAGATGAGAGAGACGTGAGGGGTGTGAGCTTTCATGCCTCACTGCAAAATTCAGCCAGTATCTCAAGCCATTAGAAGCTGCTGACATGTCAAGAGTAGTAAACTCCTACTTTCAGGATTACATAAGTGGGTTTCACAAAAGAACTGCTTCATATAGAGGTCAATTTTGTTTAATAATTAACAATACACACAGAGGGAAGGACTAGCCAGTGTGCATAAGATTTTGGAGAAAAAAAAAACAATCAAATCTCTTCATGTGTTTTAATTCCGTTCCTTGCACACCGACTATCTGAATCTCCCTCATATCTCTGCATTTTTGTTTGGGAGAGAGATAAAGCAGAAGCCAGTTAAAATCTTCACCTGCTGTAATATCAAGTATTTGCTGCCCTAGCTAATAGCTGAGTACGATGATCAACCATGAAATCTATCCTTGCACCCAAGTTGTCAAAATGTTGGCTCTCTGCTTATTATAATTTGTCCAGAATTGACGCTGGGTTTGATCCATGTTGGAATAAACTACACAGGTGAGTGCCAAGGTAAGAGGCAAGTGTCTTGTTTCTCTGTGAAGCTTCCCTGCCTCCATCTGTCCTGGCAGCAGGATTTAGTCGCTCAGAGAATTAACCTTGGTTCTTCTTCCTGGGTGCTGTGTATGTCCCATCATGGACATTGGGATCTCCCTAAAAGCACATACTGCCATCTGTGTACTGCTTTCACAGAAGCTCTACGCTCCCTGCTCCTGTACCCCAGCTCCTGAGTATCCAACACAAAGCAGCCTTTTCAAGAACCATCTCAAGAGATTAAAAGATTTTTCAAGGAAACAAGTCTTTTCAGGAAGCACCAGTGAGTGCTGCAAAGGGTCATTCCAGCCTCACCATTTTTTCCCAGATCATCCCTTCACTGCTCCTGATCCATCAATTGATCTGGGGTACTACCAAGACAGTTTATTTATATAGTCAGGAGTAATCTAGCCTTTAGAAGAAAAAGTTCAGCCCTGGAAGATCTCCATTGTCCATCAAGATGAAAGATCTGTATATGGACTTTAGGATTCAGACAGTGCTTAATGTGCAATAATTAGTGAAGCATATCAACAGCACAAGACCCCCCACATTCATAGGGTAATGACTCCAACTAATACCAGCTGAGTCTAATGAATGTGTGTTCCCAACAATCAGCGTCACAGCAATTATTCCAAAGGTTGTTCCATGACGGAGTATTTCAAAGAGCATTAACTGTCACACCAGGGGAAAAAACATCTCTTCTGGTCCCCCTCACAAGATAGTTTTATGTCGCTGGAAAGGCAAGTAAAGAAATAGTAGTTTGTGTTCCACACCCTTCACACAAAGTAAAGTAGAAGGCTATGTAATTTTGTGAGTAGCTTTAGCACAAAGTTGTTAAAGCAATATACCCAATGAGCTGTGAGCCAAAGCAAAACCAAACAAGCAGTGGCCCTACCTAAGCTTGAGACAAGGAATATTTTTAGGTTGGACAACTGACAAAACACACTAATCCAAGGTGATACTCCGTGACTGCAGGAGTGAAATAAAAAGAGTTTTCCTATTGATATTATAGGACAGGATAGAGAGAACATCACTGGATCTACAGGGGAATTAGGCAGGTAGCCTATAAAGCAGGGGAAGAGTTATGGATCTACTTTTGATTCAAGTGGAATCCCATGATTGTGTTTAAAATGTTTGCACAAAAGCAGTTAGGCAGACCAGTTGCTTGGAATTCTGTGAGCCCAGTGGTGCTTGTCCCAAGGCAACTTCCCCATGCATACATTGCGGCAACTGAGCCAGGACCACACTGTGATTTGGCTGCTCACAGCTCGGCACTCATGGCACATCCAGTGTTAGTACAGCTTGTTTCCAGCTTTGTGACTTCAGTGACTGACTTCAAAATTTAACTTCAGCTACCAGGAGGACTCACATTTATGAAATGTTTACCTGGGCTATGTAGTAACAGTGGTGGCAGAGCAAGAAAGTGACTGACCGTTTCTACCTAGATACAACTGTTACACCACTTGAGCCCTTGGTGTCCTGTACTCAAAGAAAATACTCTATAGCTCTGGCTTTCCTACATCATCACCAAGCTGCTTCGTGCCATGCCAAAGCAGTTCAGACAACAATCTCTTTTCTACCCACAAAATGAACCTCCTTGTTCTTTCACAACCCTTTTGGAAAAAAACAAGCCCTCTTACCTGTTTCAATATGCTGCAGAAACTCCTGTGCTGTCACCTTCTCATGAGGTTGCAGGATGGGTTTGTACAACCGCTTGGCTTTAGAGCTGTTTTGTTTTAAGCAGAAGCATTGGCTTATCAGAGTTAAGCATTCCTTGATGCCCTGCACGAGGTCGGAAGACATCCTCTGAACAAAGGTCATGAAGTCCCGCAGCAGCTGCATGCATCGTCCACACAGTTGACCCATTCTGGCTCCAAAAACAGAGCAAAGCAAGAGGAAAATGAAGGAGATGGAAAGAAGAGTTTCTTCTCAACTTGTCCACTTCTTGCACTAACTTACTGTCTTAGTGTTTGTCCCGTCTTACAGATATTAACACCATACCATGAGCAGCTGTTGTAAGCAAACAAACTTCTGCATCCAAACAGCTACATTGCACAATAAGCCTGGCTTTTGCAGATCTCCCAGTCTACAAAACATTATTTAAAAGGCTGGGCTGGAGCCACACTCAAACACCCTCCCCTTGCTTGAAGAAAATGATGATCTAAGCACATTCTGTGGAGAACAAACAGAGTTTAACTCCTGGAGCATTCACCAAAGCCTTCATGAGGCTAGAAAAGCTCTGGGATAAAGGAAAAAGCTACCTCAGTTTTTGTAAGGCAGCTTTCCACATGAAAGGTAGGCACCACCTTGTTTGCATGTGTACAGGCTGCAACCGCCAATGGGAGAGGAAGATCAGAAAAAAAAAAAATAAAGAAGCATGTGAACAGGTTTTTCCAGTTTTTGCTGGAGCACATACCAGAACAAAGGCCCTGTTGGACAAACAGCTCATAGCCCAGCACCCAGCCAAGTGAGACTTTGCAAACCAGCAAGAAGAGAAAAACAGAAAAAAAAATAAAAATACAGTGACCAAATAATTTAGAAGTATGTTTTCCTCCTGTCAGTCAAGTCCTGCAGAGTGGGCTGGATAAGCCAGCAATGGGAGGATGCAAAAATCATCTGCAGTTTTCATGCAGAAAAAGGTAGCAGAAGGAAAGAGAACAGTTCCACTCTTGCTCCATCCGTTTGCTTAAGTCAGCCTGGTGCATGTTCTCACCCTTTGTTAAACAGTTTTACAAATGACCTTGGCCTAATTAGGGTAGTATGAAGCGTCATTTGCAATACTCTTGAGGTTTCCAGGAAAATCTGGTTTGATTTAAGATCACCCTTTAGGGAACCAGTAGGTACAGGTCTGCTGAGTGTTGATCACTTTTATTAACTTCTCTTTATCCATGGATTTGATGGATTTATTTTAACTATTGCATGTGATATATCTATTGCCAAGTTTTAGCCTCACTGTCCTTTAATACATCTTAAGTTCCTAAATAAATCATGTTTGAAAATCAACCTTTTGTTCTGCACCCATCTCTAAACACTGATGAACAGGCTAACTCAAATCTCACTGGTCTGTCCAGCTACTGCTATTTCTTCTCTTACTTACACATCATTCCCTTAGACACAAATACTATGTGGCAAAAATAAACCCACCTACAACTGTAAACCAAAAGGTATGAGACTTCTATTACACAATGCAATCCATTACAAAGCATCAAGACTTTGATTTTGCTTTCTACTTCTTTGACCAGTCTGCAAACCCACTGAGTTCTGATCTCTGTCTGGCTTCTTAATATTATCAAAAGCGAGGCTAATACTCCTATTTTCTCCTGTTTTTAATAGAGATCTTCTAAAGTATAGGGAACCTGTGTGATTGTCAGGTCCTGCTTCTGCCACTGCTTGCTTTTCACGTTTTGCGCATGATCTTCCATCCTTCAGCTTCCATCCAAAAAGCAGTAAGGTGGCAGATCATACGAATCTATCACATGCTCTGTCTCTTCCTCTGTCCTGTCTACAGAACTCCTAATTGTTGTGAGATCTTTTTCTAAAGTGATTTGAACTGTACTGCACTGAGATGACAAAAAAGCAGGACTGTTTCAATGAGACACTTGTTAGTAATGACTGCCTTTCTGTAACATGTTTCAAGCATTTCAAAATGTATATAGACACTGAAGTAGCTTTCCAATGTATCTGTAATGAAGATGCTCCCAAATGGTTTAAAAACAAGTTTCAGGGGTGCTGTGCTCGTGTAACTCCATTTGAAATAAATGGGAGTTAAATAAATGCACAGCTGAAAATCAGGCTGTAAGTTGCGTGAAGGCATAAAACTCAGGTTTCCCAATGCCTAGTTTCACGATTCAGTCAGTCTCCTTTATATGAAACCACTACTTGAAAGCCAGTGTAGAAAGCTGATTTATGGGTCTTCCAATCTGTTCTGAATTCACAATAGCTGCTATAAAGGTAAAGGTTGCAACCATAAACCCAATGTTTTTGATTAGTTTCATGACTTAGATAGGTTTCCTTATCTGACTGAATAAAATACCAGCCCGAGACCACAGAAGGGAAAAAAATTAGTAGTACTCTAATAGTGTTAAATCATTTTGCTTTCATTCTTCTAAAGAACACGTTCCAAATAGTAGAAGCCCCACACCCCACATCATGATTCCCCCCCCCCCCCCCCCCCCCGGGAAAAAAATCATTTCCTTTGTAAAATGTTAGAAAAAGCCTCTCCAACCACTTCCATTCAGCTGTGTGCAAGAGATTTCCAAGTAGTAACCTTTCTGCATGAAGACTACTTGGAATTCTGTATAAAATGCACTTGGAAGTTTAGATCTACTTACCAAATAACAGAGGAATGCTGTAGCTAAGTGGCACTTTAAACAGAGAGCTTCCACTGGTTCAGAATTTTATCTGCTCTGCAGTTTCTCTGCCAAGGACAGAAAATATTGCTTTTGGGCACAGTCCCTTAAGTATCTGACACTTGCAGTAGGTTTGTTTTGTTCTGAATTAAGAACAGAAAATCTAAAAATATATTTACTTGTTACTAAATTAATTTGCTATTTCACTCATGCAGCATGCAACTGCTTGAACCACTTCTGGAACAGAAATTCCTTTATCTAGTTTGCAATGGTGCATATATTTTGATTTTGTTTGCTCAAAAGTTGATTGGCACTGCAGAGGTGTACACAAATGCTCTTTATAGTCCTCTTTCATACATTACCTAGGGCCTCTTCATTCTAACAGGCCAAAAAAGCCTCAGGAATATTGGAAAAAACAGGTCAACAGATTTTTCTGAGCTACAGTAGCAAATGCGTCCCTCTTAAAGGAAAAAAAAGATAGCTCCAGGTTCCAGATTTTAGAAATACTGTTAACATTGTGATTTTACTTAGTGGATACAAGGACTTCTGGGGAGCATAGGAGTGAGGCAGAGAATGAGAATGTATGGGGACTTACTTAATTTGTGTGTCAGTTAAATGAGAAAATAAAGGAATGCTTAAAAAGCAGTAAAAGAATATACTTATGGTATTCAAGAATCTAAAACTGTAAAAAAGGAACTAAATTTGTATTTTATGAATTTGTCCCATGTAATTTTATTTTTGCAACGTCTTATACATTTTTTTTTCCCTCTCTTCTCTCACCCTTCTGTTCAGTTTAGAAGGCTGTACAATGATGGCTATATATTACTGCTTGGTTAACAACAAATCTGATTTAAAAGGTGATAGCTCCCCTGATGTATAGGTCTTTATTGTCCCCACTCCTGCAGTTAAGGCCTCCTCCCTTGTATTAAATCAGTGCAACTGCTCTTCAAACAAGATCCATGAAAATTGTGGCTTCAAAATAACAACAAAAATAATCAACAAACCAAAGGTCTGAAGTTCTAAAACTGGATCTACCATTGACAAAATAGTAAAATAAAATAAGGAATTAGAAAAAAATGGTTGAGGAAGCAGCACAGTTCTAAACCCTGAGCCCTATGTGTGTAACTTACATTACTACTGAGCTCTTTTAAATATATTATAAAAATATATCTTTTAAATGTATACGTGTGTGTGTATAATTATATATGATGTATATATTCACAATTAAGATTTCAGGACAAAGGCTGAACTGAACCAAGACAGACCCCAGTCATTTAAGCAGGTAGGAAAGCGTATGTGAGGAGTTGAACAATGCAAATTTGTGAAAAACTGTCAAGGGTTACTTCATGGCATAGTAAGGCAGAGCTTTGTTTGCACTCAATGCACTGTAGAGTATAAAAGCTGCTCTCACTGCATCAAATTCCTTGGCTGAGGTATTTGCTTATCCTCACTCAGAGGGAGAGTGCCATCTACTGAAGCATCCCCTTTACACAGCTCCCTTGAAACTTGTCCCACTCATGGATTGACAAAATCTGCCCAAGGGGGTTATAAAACTGAAAAAGGATTTAACAGGAAAATAAGCTGCTTTAGATGCGAATCTTTACTGCAAAGTAACAGCTGCACGTAAAGGACCAGCCCAAAGATGGTAACACCACTGACTTGAGCAAGTCTATGATCCAGTTTTATGAAGAGATTAAAATCTGCCTCATTCTGAGCTTCTTCATTCTTAATAAATCTTTGGAAT